GCTTCACTGGCCCAAGTTGGCACCATCATTGCGCTCTTCCCGGGCGAGGCAGATCAGTCGCCGGCTTCTGGATGGCCACTCATGGCGGCTGCTGGATGCTCATACTGGCTGCTGGATGCTGTCTACACACAGTAGCTGATGGCAGCCCACTGCAGCAGGGGCTACAGCCTACATCGTCGCTGGCGACTCATGGCAGCCCAGCTCCAGGTTGAGCCGTTGTTCAGCATCTTAGCTGTGGAGGGCAGTGTCATTGGCCCTCATATGTGGGATCCGAACCGGAGCCCTCTGGCGTCCCAACCCAGTTCTTAACCGTTGTGCCACTCGGCCGGCCCCCTGTGTGAACATTCTTATCCCTTACTTCTGAACTTAGCTGGGAATTTATTTATGTATCCTCACCGGTGCCTGGCAGCCTATGTGTTTAAGTCAGTGATTCTCAACTGCTGGTGGGAGGTGGGGGGACTGTTTTGCCCTCAGGATGACATTTGGCAATGTCTACAGACATTTTAGTTGTCACGAGCGAGGAGTGTACTACTGATTCTAGTAGGTAGAGGTCAAGGATTCAGTTATACAATGTACAGGTCAGCCCCCACCAACAAAGAATTATCTGGCCTATGTCAATCAATGTGGGGTTTGAGAAACCTTGGCCTTAGAGAAAGATGATCTCACACTAATTCTATAAGTAGGCTTGATGGGTATGTAGGTAAATATATTCTTTTGCAGTGACTGGTTTAACAATAAGTATACAACCCACTCTGGGTCAATAAAATGAGAATAAGTTGCTGGGTGCTTCTGAAAAAGTCCTTCTCTCTGGACATTGTCAGGTGATGGTGTGAACCTGGTCCATCAGCACTAGGTACAAAGCAGAGCCAAGGGAATGGCAGGGAAAAGGGCCAGCGCCACCTGACTCAGTCAAGCCTGAAGCCCGCCCTTCTGCTCAACTTCCAGGGAGAGGAGTCTCTTTATGATTTAGGCATATTTAAGATTTATTTTCTTGCTACTTGCAGCCACATGAATCCTAATGGTGCATCTTTATTCCCTTTCTTTTCTTTCCCTTTCTTATCTTTTTTGTTTTCTTTTCTCTTCTCTTCTGTTCGTCACTCATTCACTTCTTCTTGTGATCTGAAGGGTGCCTGTAGCTCTTAGCTAATTTTCCAAGCCTTCTTTATCTTGGACAATTATCTGGCTCAAGCCCCAGCTCTGTCCACCTACGCTTCCTTGTTCAGGAGAGCCTTCTGAACATGATGTTCCTTTAATTATCATTAAAATAATAGAATGACTTCCTTATACAACAAAAATAACAGACTTTCCACTCACAGAGTACCCAATGGGATCCAACCATCAAGCTTTCTAAGTTCAAGTAGGCCTAAAATAAGAGCAAGGCCTGGACAGCACTGGAGGGAAAAAGGAGATCCAGAGAGAAGACAAAGTTATTTTAAAATTTCACGAATAAAAGGGGAAGTAGTACCACGCACTTTAAAGACAGTAGAGCAGGTGTCCATCTGCAGTCTTTTATATTGGCAGCTGAATGTTATTAAATTGCCGGGGTGGCTGGAAATATAGGCATGCTGACTTTAAGGAAGACAAAACCTAAAGGAAGGCAGGAGAAGCAGCAAGGAGAACTGTCCCTGCTGGGTAGGGTAGGGGGTCAATTTGTATCTTTCTAAGATTCTGTGGGTTCATTTAAGTGTAAAAACCACAAAACTAAACATCTGCTGCTTGTGACTTAGCAATCAAGTCTCACTTCATCATTCCTTTTTCAAATGATCACTCTAGGCCAAATGGCTTATAAGAACTGTGTAGCTCATGCAGATTTAGGCTTTTCAAAAATGAGGACATTTACAACAGGTACAAACTTCGAGTTCTAAAATTAGTAAGTCCTGAGGATGTAGTTAATGTACACATGGTAACTGTAGTTAATAATACCATACTGTACCTTTGAAAGTTGCTAAGAGGGTAGATCTTAAAAGTTCTCATCACAAGAAAGAAATGTGTAACTACGTGTGATAATGGATGGTAACTAGACTCATTGTGGTGATCACTTTATAAAATATACAAATATAGAATCATTGTGTTGTATACCTGAAACTTATACAATGTGATATATCAAGTGTATCTTAATTAAAAATAAAGACATTTAATTTTTAAAAAAAGTTTTCATAAAAAGCTTGGGTAATTGAATTCCTTTGTTCAAATTCTCAGAGTGGAGGAAAGGGCATATTACAATGGGTGAATAATTAATTACTCTGGATTTCCCAAAGTTATTATACTCTATTATACTTACTAGTCTCAAATATTTCAGTTTTCTAAATGCTTGAACAAAAAGCCTCCATCTCAATTTGGGAAAAATAAACTATGTATTAGAGTTAACACAATAAATTTTTAATATTCTTCACAAATCAGCTTTGGGATAAGATAGGTATGAACTATATATATCCTAGAAAAGATTAAACTTTTACAAAAGATGAATGGCTGACAAATGGGCTGTGGATAATTACAAGGGACACTCCAAGCAAAGGTTTTCAGTGTGAGCTCTCTATATGTCAGTAATTTTCAACTATAAAAATTGGTTCTCACTGAGCTCTGCTTTCTGTAGAAAGATTGGAGATTAGACTACTTTGTAGGATGGGAATCAAGGGAGGGTTTGGAAATTACAAAAGGCAGCGAGACAAAAGAAGTACCAAAGGGGATGTTACCATAAACGTGAGATCATTTTCATCTGAAACCATCAAATGATTTTTCTTACCATCAGTGGAACCAAAGCTTCCATTGATGGATTTTCTCTGAAACCTGCAAAAAAAGCACAAATATATGCTCCTAAAACAGTGAAAATCTCAGCATTTTACATTTGTCCTCTATAGACTTTTTTGCAGATTTGTCTACTAGGGTCTCTTTAAAATAGGATTTTGCATGTAGAGAAATGGAATTCTGATACATTGCTGGTGGGATTGTAAAACAGTGTAGCCACATGGAAAAGTTTGGCAGTTCCTCAAAAAGTTAAACACAGGGTTACCGTAGGATTCAGCAGTTGTATTCCTAGGCATATACACACATATATAAATATATTATTTTCAGATTCATTGTTTTAAGACAACTCACACACCATAAAATTCACATACCCTTTGATGTGCACAATTCAATGAGTTTTAGTATGTTCACAAAGTTGTGCAACCATCACTTTTATCTAATTTCAGAACATTGTCATCCTCCAAAGAAATCTCAGACCTAGTAGCAGTCACGTCCCCATTCCCTACTCCTCCTAGGCCCTGGCAACCATTAATCTTTCTGTCTCTATAAATTTGCCTATACTGGACATTCCATATAAATGGAATTTTACTAGAGGTGGTCTTTTTTGACTGGCTTTATTTTCACTTATCATAATGTTTTTAAGTTTTATCTATATGGTACATGAATCAATACTTCAGTCGTTTTATGGCTGAATGATATTCCATTGTATGATTTACCACATTTATTTATTTACAATTGATGGGTATTTTGGTTGTTTGCATTTTTTGGCTATTATGAATAACATTGCTATGAACATTTATATACAAGTATTTGTGCGAATATATGTATTAAATTCTCTTGGGTAGTACCTAGGAATAGAAATGCGGAGTATGAGGTTACTCTATGTTTAAACCCTCCCCCCCCCAACTTATTATTATGCTTGTTTCACAGCAGCTTCATAGCAGGAACTATTTTACATTCCCAATAGCAATGTAGAAGTTTCCAACTTCTCCACAATCTTACCAACTTTTGTCATTTTTCATTAAAATTTTTTTATTAGAGCTATCCTCATGAATATGAAGGGATATTTCATTGTGGTTTTAATTTTTAATTTGCATTTCTCTGATGGTTAATGATGTTGAATATCTTTTCATATGCTTATTGGCCATTCATATAACTTCTTTGGAGAAATATCTATTGAAACCTCTTGCCCATTTTTACATGGGGTCATTTTTCTTTTCATCATTGGGTTGTAAGAATTCTATACATAGTGTGGATACTAGGTTCTTACCAGATATTTGATTTCAAAACATTTTCTCCAATTTTGTGTGTTGTATTTTCACCTCCTTGATAATGTCTTTTAAAAGCATGAAGTTTTAATTTTGATGAAGTCTAATTTTTCTATTTTTTTTCTTTTGTTACTTGTGCTTTTAATTTCATATCTAAGAAACTATTGCTTAATCCAAGGTCACAAAAATTTACACTTCTGTTTTCCCCTAAGAGTTCTATATATTCAGTTCTTATATTTAGATCTTTGGTCTACTTTGAGGTAATTTTTTTACATGGTGTGAGGTAGGGGTACAACTTCATTCCTTTTCATATGGATACCCAGTTGTCTCAATGTCACTTGTTGAAAAGAATATCCTTTTTCCATTGAATTGTCTTAATACCATTATCAAAAATCAATTGACCATTGGGCCAGCCAAGTGGCTCAGTTGGTTAAGAGCTCGCTCAAGAGTTTGAGCTCTGAGCAACAGCAGTTCGAGTCCCGGCCCGAGCTGAGCATCCGCTGAGCTGCCAACAGGTGGCAGGATGGCTCAGCTAAAAAAAAAAAAAATCAATTGACCATTATTGTAAGGGTTTATTTCTGAACTGTCTATTCTATTCCATTGATCTATATGTCTTTCCTTGTATCAGTGGCAGATTTTTGATTACTGTAGTTTTGTATTAAGTTTTGATATCAGGAAATGTAAGATCTCCAGCTTTGGTTGTTTTTTTTTTTCATGATTGTTTTTACTTTTCTGGGTTTCTTGCATTTACATATGAATTTTAGGATCAGTTTGTCAATTTCTATAAGAAAGTCAGTTGGGACTTGATAGGGATTGTGTGGAATTTATACATTGATTTGGGGAGTATTGCCATGTGTTGTATTGCTGCTGTAATAAATGATCACAAACTTAGTGGTTTAGACAATACAAATTTATTAGCTTACAATTCTGCATGTCAGAATTCCGAAATGAGTCTCATGTGGCTAAACTGAAGATATCATCAGGGCTAATTTGTTAAATGAACAAGGCATATTAGTATGGAGAGCAGTTACAATTTGGCCTGACTATTCTAGCTGGCAAATAAGGCTTGAAGGAAGTCCTCTTTTAAAACAATTTTAGTAGTATTAACTGGCAAGCAATTATATGGACTCATAAAAAATGATGTATTTGACTTCTGTGTTTGTATTAACATTTGCCCTAAGTTTTAGAGCTGATAAATTAAAAAAAATTTTTATTAAGTTTATTGGGGTGACATTAGTTGGTTTTTTCAATTATATAGGTTTCAAGTGGTTAATTCTATAATATGTTGTCTATATATATTGCATTGTGTGTTTACCACCCGGAGTCAGTTTTAGGGTGAGGCAGGCAGTAGCCAGTGAGAAAAGGAAAACAAAGTAAATGAGAACTATGCTAGACTGATTGCAAAATGACTACCCTTAACCTTGGGTCTTGCTCCTTTAATCAAAAGGTAGAGCCTGTATCTTTAATTCTTGACTCTGGATTGGTCTCATGACTTGTTTTGACCAATAGAATGAGGGGGAAATGATACCATGACATTTCTGAATTTACCTCTTAAGGAGGCTTTGCATGCTTCTGTTTTCTCTCTCTTGGAGATTCAGTAAACCAGGGCTAGCCTGCTGGAGGGTGAGAGACCAAGTGCAGCGAGGGTAGTCTAGAAGAGCTAGCTCCTGGATGACCTGCCCTCTGGTTGCATTCTATGACCACACCAAGCTGAGATCTCTGAGCTCGGTGCAGATTAGCTGAACCACCCAGGCCCATCAATTTGTGAGCAAACAGATATTTATTGCTGTATGCCATTGAAGTTTTTATGGTTGATTTTTATGCAGCATTATTGTGGCGATAGAGGACTAATACACGAATCAAGGGAAGGACGAGCACCCAGGATTGTGCAGTTTGAACTCAAAGTCTGGCTGGGTGGTTGAAAGGAATGAGTAAGAGAATACGTACGCAGTCCTTGGCCCCGGGCCTGCACATTCATCGTGAGGGCTCCAAAAATACTTGTTGAATAGATTGGGTCTGGGGTATGGGAGTGGAATGATGTTCATTCATGCAGTCAAGCCAATATAGCATAAAGACATTTTGGAGTCTTAGCTCCCTGAGGGCGGGGGCCATGCCCCTTACCAGTTTTCATCCTGATCTAATAGTATGTGCTAAAAGCTCCACAGATATTAATAATAAGGTACAAAGAAATCACAGAGCAACTGGCATTATGGTCCAAGACTGGCTTCATTTGGTTTTGTAGAAAACTTAATTTCTGCTTAGTTCAATGACGGAAGAACTCTGTTAGTATTTTTCCTCAGTCTGTCCCCTGATTTAGAATGCCAAATACTTCTTATGTCTCCAGATTTCTACTTTCAGTTTGTCTATATTTGGAAAGAATCTCTGCTTGTGCTACTGACTGTAGCAAAATAATCTGGCAGCTAGAGGTTTCAACAGGGCCTTCTACCACAACTTTGAAAAACTGTGCTCGCTTCAGTAGGTTGAATAATAACATTAGACAGGTTGATATCCAGCTATTAATTAAATTTTTTGTCTGCTTGTATATTGACTATGTGTGCTAGCTAACTAAAGAGGTGAAATCCTATTTTCTAAAATCTAAACATTAGGAGTAGAGACAGTCTTCCTAAGAGAGGAAGAGTAGATAAGCTTCTTTTTCCATGACATTGGAGCTTATTCAAGTCAAAATTGGGAGCTTTTTGGACCTTTTAACAACCAAATCCATCCCGGGGTACTAGGCTTTTGGTCTGGCCTTCTTGATCAGGACTGGGGCCAGGCTGCCTGGGTTCAAATCCCAGCTCCTTCATTTACTGGCTGTGAATTCTTGGTCAAATTACTTAACCTCTCTATGCTTCAATTTCCTTAACTGTCAAATGGTGACAATAATAGTATCCATTGTTGTGGGGAATTAGATGAGATCATCTGCTCAGAGGGCTCACTCAGCACAGTGCCTGGCACAAAGCAGGTACTTGTTAAATGTTAGTGATTATGATGTGATGAATTAACTGAGCTGATAATTAATGTATATACTTTCCGGGTATATTTGCCTATAGATTGAGGTTTTTGTTTTTAACTTTTTATTTGAAAATAACTTCAAATTTAAAGAGAAGTTGTAATAATAAGAATAGAATATAGTACACCCATATACCCTTTACTTATATTCACTTATCATTAACATTATCCATTTGCTTTATCATTCTCTCTCTCTCCATATATATATATATATATTTACATATATATANATATATATATATATATATATATATATATATATATAAATTTTTTCTGAACCATTTGAAAGTAAGTTGCAAGTCATGAACTTTTATGCCTAAATATTTCCAAAAAATAAAGATATTTTCTTACATAACCATATGACAACCATATAGTTGTCAAGTTTAGCAAATTTAACATTGACATGATACTTTTCTCTAATTTATTCTATGTATTACAATTTTGTCAATTGACTCAATAATGTCCTTTATAGGATATTTTTCTTCTAGTAAGAGATCCAGTCTGAGATCAGATATTTTCTTTAGTTGTCACATTTCTTTAGTTTCCTTCAATCTGGAACATTTCCACAGCCTTTCTTTGTCTTTTATGACACATTTTAATAGAATGATCATCATTTTGAGCTTGTCTATTTTTTCCTTATGATTGTATTTAAAATATGCATTCCTGGCTGGAATACTGTATAAATGATATTGTATCCTTCTCAGAATGTCCCATTCTGGAGGCACACATGTCCATCTTTTCCTTGGTCATATCAATTTTGATCACTCAGTCATCTGATTTCTTGATCATATGGTTCTATTTTCCCCTCACAATTAGTGAGCCATTTGTGGGGATACACTTTAACATCATGCAAATATCTTGATCCTCATCCGATTTCCCTCCTAGTTTTAGTATCCATTGATGATTCTTAACCTGATCTATGCAAAATGATGATTTTGCAATACCCGCAGTCCCTCCTCATTTGCATCAGCTTTTGGCTTTCTACTGTAGGCAAAAGTCCTCCTTTCTACACTCAGTATTTGCTAATGGCGCCTCTGCCTAATGTGTACCTGTTTTAGTAACTTTGTTAAATTCATGGGGTGCATATCTGTAGGGATTCAGGTCAGTCCTCCCTCCCTCCCTTTTTTCCTTTATCAATATGGTTCATGAATTTCTATTTTTCTCAATTACTTATAATTCATTTTTCTCCTCAATTGTTTTGGTGCGCAGATTGTCCCAGATATGACCAGAGATAATCCCAGGGTTTTTGAAGTCAGTTTTTTAACTGAAAAGCTTCATAAAGGTCAAAAAAGGGAGTTATGTTTTGAGTCAGAGGAAGGCCTGTATCAATGAGACAGTTGTACTACTGTGGTAGCCAATGAGGTTTTTTTCTACAAATGGGATCTTGCCCAACAGTCTGAAAACTCTGTGCTGGCTTTGTTTCTTTTTTACATGTTCAAAAGGAGAAAGAACATCTGTTTATTGTAAACCTCCTGCCATTCTTTTGTAGTTGTTTCACAGAGAGCACAACCAATATGGAATTCTCAAGGTTCAGGCCTGCTGAGAGAGGCAGTGAAAAACCAGGGCTCGTTTTTATTAGGGGCTCCAAACTCTTGTGAAGGGAAATTTCCTTGGTCAAACTACAGCATGATTATTTCCTTTTTTTTCTCTCAAGGGACATTTTACTGGAAAATTGATGCTACAACAGTAAGAAAGCACCTGGTAATGTGGTATCAAAGCATATTATTCCTGCTATGAATGACTAACCCCTGCTAAAATTACTGCGGCTAAAATAACTAACACTCTACCAGCACTTAGCTGTGTGCATAACTTTGACATAAACACTGCAGTTAGACTATTCTATAAAGTAAAAGTACTATCTCATTTTACAGATGAGGAAGCTGAAGCACAGAGAGGTTAAGTAACTTGCCCAAGGCCAGTTAGTGGCCAAGGTAGGTCTGAATCCAGTCTATACAGCTGTAAAGCCTGATTCTCTAATTACCAAGCCGACAGAGGCAGAGGGGGGTAATGTTTCTTGAAACTCTGGACCTACCTGATATAATGAACAAGCACAACAAGCAGGCATCCCAAATAGAAGGAGAAAAAGCTGAAGAAGCTGAGAAGAATGGATTTCACAAAAATGGATTCTGAGGAAGAGAAACAACTTTAGTCAGGATGTCCACAGAAGAAGGACCATGTTTGGGACCGGACAGTTTCAAGGGCCCATCTCCATCATACCCATTCTTTAGCCCTGTGATATCTCTATTTGAAGCAGCGTGGCTGCTGGAGGTCACCCAGACATTATCCACAAAAGGCTGCCTTTCAGAGTAATGATTTCCAAGTGGAAACTGGGAAGGGACTTCCCACGTACAGCTTCATAATTGAGTTCCCTCTCTTTCTGGAAGAGATTTAGCAAAATGCTATTATTCTCTATTCTATCTCTAAGGTAAACATTAGTTTTCTTATGATGTTTCTTTGAAAGTATGACATTAGCATTGAATTACATGATCAACTTCCTGACATAGGAATCTCTCCACTGAATCCTAGAGCCAACACTTACCTTTAATGGAAGGAACAATGGTCACTTTAAGGTTCTTTGTTCGTTGTAGATTCCAGGTCTGGTTCCCCTTTTCTGGTAAAGGACAAGACAAAATGGGTCAGATCCTATGTTCTTGGCCTGTCATCTGAATAGTTGTTCATAAACTGTCCAAAATTAACTCTGGTTGTTGGATTTTCAGCAAGAACTGAGGAAAACTAACCCCAAACCATCAAACCATCTGTCTAATGCCCCTTTTGGTTAAATTTTCAATTTGGCCTTTGGTTGGTGCATTTTGGTAGCACTAACTGATACAAATGAGAGCTCAGCCTCCTTTCTTGAATAAAAAAGGCTTGACCCTTCCCCTGATATCCATGTGGCCCACTATGCCACAGAAATCTGAAGAAAAGAGCTGCAGAAATAGGAAGCTACCTCATCTTTTGGTTTGCATTTTCTAGTCAGTAAGTATTTTTTTTCCTTATATAGTCATTAAACAGCTTGTAGTTTACCAAAGAACATTGGACATTGGCAAAACTCTAGAGCAGCGGTTCTCAACCTGTGGGTCGCGACCCCTTTGGGGGTCGAATGACCCTTTCACAGGGGTTGCCTAAGACCATTGGAAACAAAAAGATATTTACATTATGATTCATAACAGTAGCAAAATTACATTTATAGAGTAGCAACAAAAATAATTTTATGGTTGGGGTCACCACAACATGAGGAACTGTATTAAGAGGTCACGGCATTAGGAAGGTTGAGAACTGCTGCTCTAGAGATTTGTAATTAAGAGATTAAAGAATACACAAGCAGAAATTTCACTAAATACTCAAGAGTAAACATCCTCTGTGTTGATCACGTATGGCTCATCAGCTGTTGGGAGACTGTGTTTTCAATCAACAGCCTGTTCCATTCCTGAGGTAGTTACTGGGTAACTGGGTAACCCATAACCATTTGTACTATGCCTCAGAGCTCACACTACCTCTGTCATTGGGATAAATTGTGCTACTTTGCTTTCTTACTATCTTGCAAGGTACAATTTTGGCAACAAGAATTGAGAACTTTAATTTTCCTTGCTCATCCTTGTGGAAATGATAAGTACTAATAAATATAAGTGACTCCATTTCCTCTGGCTACCAAACTGATCTTAGAAAATGGAACTTGGTCTGCTGTATAAAATCATTACTTCATAGTAGTAAATATTTGTTAAGAGCCAACCTCACATGGTCTGAGGGAGCACAAGGTTTTGAAAAGATGCAATGCAATAAGTGACATTTTGTAGTATCATTAATATCTTTAGATCTATCATTTTCTTCCCTTCATTTTTTTCTCAAATATTTCTCAGCCTGGCTTGCTAGGTCACTGCTGATGGCCCTCACTTAGTGGCAACTAGAAATGGTCATAAGGGGCCAAAGTGAGCTTTGGCTTCCCTTCCATTCCCATCCATCAGGTTTTTCTAAGTAGCCAACTATTCCTCACTATCTCTTACCCTGGATGAAGAAAGATCCTCCACATGCATAATCTTCAGGCTTTATCACAAACACCACGAAGAACTGCTCACTGGGAAAATCCTTCTTCTGTATAAGACATAACAATCTTATGATATGTTCTTATGTTCTTATGATAAGAAAGATAGAAGAGAGAAAGTCTATGGCAGTGGGATGGGGGCAGAAAGAAAGAGGAAAAAGAAGGAAAGTAAAGTTCACCTCTGCCTCCTAACTTCTTAGAAAGGACTTTCACATGCCCGTGATCTACTCCAGATTATCCACAATAAAATAATTGCTACATCCAAGAAATTAAAATAAATAGATGCACTATTCTAATTTCAATCTATCTTGTGCCCACTTGAGTCCTTAAAACTGTAACAAGCACCATATAAGTAATATGTCAACAGCTTATGTTTAATAATTAATACTTGTATGT